CACTGATACACACTCACTGATACACACTCACTGATACACACTCACTGATTGTTCACACTCACCAATCAACACTCACCAATCCATACTCACCAATCAACACTCACAAATCAACACTAACCGATCAACACTAACTGATCAACACTCACCAATCATACACACTCACCGATTAACACTCACCAAAAATCATACTACACACTCACTGATCATATACAGCACTCGCCGATCAACACTCAGTAGCGATTGACACTCAGTGATCGACACTCAGCAGTGATCGACACTCAGTGATCGACACTCAGTGATCCACACTCACTGATTAACACTCACTGATTAACACTCACTGATTAACACTCACTGATAAACACTCACTGATAAACACTCACTGATTAACACTCACCGGTTAACACTATCCAATCAACACTATCCGATCAACACTAACCAATCAACACTAACCAATCAACACTCACCAATCAACACTAACCAATCAACACTCACCAATCAACACTCACCAATCAACACTCACCGACCAACACTCACCAATCAACAAGGAAAGTTGTGCTTAGAATGCTTCGTACTACAAACAAAATTATTTTCAAATTGGGCTACGGAACAAGAATCTACAGAAAATACTGGTATCATCATGATGTTATCAGATCGAAATAGAATCAAAAACCTCTACAGATGAAAATAAGTACAAAATATATATCTTAGGGTTCAGGTTATTATCAAACACTGATTCCTAATACAGTGCCTTCAACTTCCACTGCCGCCGAAGCAGACCAATAGGTGTACTATACATACATATGGAAAATACATACACACCATTACAATACGTACAAAGTGCAGTACAATAAAGGTCTGGTTCGACGTCCACTTGCAGCGTACCGCAAAAGACCTAATCCCTAATCCTATTTTTTGGTCACTCGCCCCATTTTATTCTAACCTTCGACGGTATCTGTAGAACGGAAAATGATAAAATTCCTTTGATAAAACATTCTGTGCAGGTATTAAAGACGAAATGCAACAAAAAATGCAACAGTAGGAAATCATGTACAATTATACGTACGTCTACATCGTACTTATTCCTATTGCCGGCATACCATGCGGGTATAGAACGGAAAATGATAAAATTCCTTTGATAAAACATACTGTGATAGTTTGTTAATCAAAAATATGTAGCTTGTTAAGTACAAAATAATAGTGCAATATTGTAAATATAGTTAGTCGCTATTGCAAATTTAAACCAATGAAAATCACTCATGATCAGATATTGACTCTACATCTTGATGTTTCAAATGGATTTGAAATCGTTCGCGAAAAAATTATCCATTCTTCTGGTAGATTGGTGCTGTTTGGTCGTCAAGGAACCAGGATGACACCGAAGATGTCAAAGAGAACCTTCAACGATTCGTGGCTGACACACGGTACTGTACATACTTGTTCGCCGTGTCAGAAACGAAAAAAAAGAGAGGTGAACGAAGAATTTTGTTTAGTATTGAACTTCTACGATACGATATTATAACGTACCGTATGGTACTCGTCCATGTACCCAAATCAGGGATGTGATCTTTTTTCGTCAGGATTCTTCCTTGAATCAAAAGAAAATTTGAGCGTACAAGAATCCTACCTTATTAGAGGATATGCCGTTCGAGTACTATTCGCATGCGAAGTATGAACGCTTCTTTTTTGGCATCGATGGACACGCATCGCTTTCTCAGTTTTTTCCTTTTTCCAAGCACACAATTTCCACGAGTTGAAAAGCAAAAACAACGTGCTTTGCAACTATTCTGAAAATCAAACAGAAAATATCTCATCGTCAAACCATTCATCCACCATGTCTTCTGAAGAGGTCAAAGAGGTCCCCGTCGCAACGCCTGAAGCTGAGGTTCCAATGAAAGATCAGGAGAAGATCGGAGCCAAGTGCTGTAAGTCTGGTCGTTGTTGTCGTGATAAATAAACGGACTCCTGCATCGTCTGATCGCGTCTCGTAGCAATGAATACACTCACCTAGTTGCTGTTATCGTTTTGCTGTGCTTGCACGCGAACAATGCTCCTTCGTACTCATCGCATCAACAACATCACGTTCGTCTCTCTCTCTCTCTCTCTCTGGCGTAATGGGAACCTCATTATGTCCAGGTGGATGTTGCTGTGACTACCGCCGTGCTGTAAGTGAAGCAAGAGCAAAACGTTGCAGGCAAAGCCGAATTTCACGTGTTACAAACTTGCAACAACCGATCTAATGAGTGGCGATGGCCTTTTTCCTCTCTTGTTTTCAACAGACTATCGTGTTTGGTATCCTCAATTTGATTAGTAGCGTCTGGGGAGTCGTTCTTGCGATCGGGTTGTTGACCGGTGGAGCCCTGATTGGGTCAGACGGAGTTGAAGAGTGGGAAGATGAGGCCGGATCCGCCAGCTTGTATATTCTTGGTGGCATTTTGATGTTTGTTTCGGTCTGCGGCGTCGGCTTTTACAGCTTCCAGATTCATGCCGCCAAAAAGTTCAACGTTTGTGGACTCAAGTTGGTCATCGCCTGGGATATCTTCACGATCTGTTTCAGAATCGCTGAGTTGATTATCCAGCAGCAACACTCTGGCGATGTAGGAGTTATGATCAACAACCTCTTCTGGACTGTCGCAATTTACGGACTTAGCCTTTATCCCATTGTAGGCTTGGTCTTTGAAATCCAGAAAGGCATTATGAGCGAAGAAACCTACCCACGCGAAGCCTACAGCTGCTGCTGCGAGCCCAAGGTCTAATGCGACTGGAACGCGTCAACGTCGTCAACGACGCAAAGCGATCAAAACAACGTCGACTCGGATGACGCAAAAATTTCTGAAGGCATCGGTTGTGCTTCTTTCATGTTATTTGAGGGTTAACGAACAAGGCGAATTGTCGCTATTTTATGTATTTAAGTAATGAATTATTGTGACTCGAGTTAAAAGTTTTACTTGTAGCTCCATTGCACCTGCAACCCTACGGTAGTAAAATCGCCCTGGACAATAATGCATTGCTCATTTCAGGGCCGAAATACACTCAAAATACAGCAAAAACTGCTTTTTCTTTCAAAAGACCCGGTCGATTGCAACGATACTTCGGGATCAAGTCTCCTTTGATGTATTAAGGACGTCCGACACACTGGTTGTCTTTGTTATGGGGGGGAAGATGGTTTCTTTTTTGTTACACTATGGAGTTCGTCGTTGCTGTTTTCACGATGATTTTTCGCTGTAGCTTGGATGTACTGTTTCTTCTAAACCACTCGGTCGATCGATCCGCTACTTCACGGTCCTCTTCCCCTTATTGTAAGGATTACAACAATTGTCTTGTGAGCGCGATTGGTTGGGTATTGATAAAGATCTGGAGGAGTGACAGCTTGCCTTGTTGAGGTTGATTTAATGAAAATATTTTTTATTTTTCGTGCGCTCAGAAATCAACAAGCCCGAAAAGGTTCTCTTACAGGAAACATATAATATGGACATGTATCGAAAGAGGAGGGAAAACCCTTTCCGACTGATGGATTCTCTAATTCTGATTGGTGCTTTCTGCTGAGTTAACAAGCAAGCAAAGTTAGCAAAAAACTGGCGCGTTTTATGTACTCATAACCTGTTAGAAATCAATAGTCTTAATTCGAACCCAAATAAGTACCGTGTGAATGGAATATTCTTCGTTCCAACAGAACAAAGCTTCAGGTGTGCAAAGCATCGAAGTACGTAAATACAGTACAGTACCTGTACGCCAAGTTCCTCCGTTTGTTCGCACCGGTCGACAAAAACATGGCACGCAGTCATGGGTAAACAGAGGTGCGGTTCGTTTCCGGGGCGACAAAAACATAGCTCTCATCTCAGTGAGGTTACTGCAAGTATTATCTTCAACACCAACAAGCTCGAGAGCTTTAGCTCGAGAGCTTGTTGGTGTTGAAGATAGTACTTGTAGCGCTGAGAGCAGAGCTCTTCCACAATTATTTACGTAACCGTTGAGCAGCTCAACATTTCCATGTACTCAGGAGACAATCGCTGATACGGAGGAGGACACTGGTGATACGGAGGAGCCGCCAATACGATGCGACGGAAGAGGAGCCGCTGATACACGTCACTGATACGGAGGCTTGCTGGTAGTACGGAGGATGCTGATACGGAGCGTCGCTGATACGTAGCG